GCCACTTCCCTTTGGCCTTAGGTATCCATTGTGCAGATAGACAATATTTAATCATAACATACAGAAACAGAGAGGAAAAGCAAGTCCATAGATCTCCAATAGAAATGAATAGGGGAGATGAAGCAGTCCTTTCATTGCCCCCCTGGCTGGCAGCGCTGGCCTGGGGTTGACTTGCTCCCAAAATGCTGCCCAGGGGAGTTGGGGTGAAGGGGGGGAGGTGACTGTGAAGGGTTACTCTATCTCTCACCCAACAGTCCACACTCACCCCTGAGTCTCCTTGAGCAGACCAGTCAGACAGACTACCCTTGTCATGATCTGTGGTGTGCACCATGAGAACAAGCCGCCAATTAAGCAGAGAGCTTTTTGTGTGTTATCTAACAAATTGTGTTGTTTTTTTTTTTTTTAGCTTATTTTAGGACCATATTAGACAATTTGGCAGGAAGACAGGTGTTTTTTATTTAGAAGCACTTCTTATCTTTGTCAGAAAAGTCACTAGAATAATGTTCAGTTGAAGAATTCAAATTTGGCACCATTTATTCTAATTAAAATGATGCTAAATGAGCTTTTTCCAGCCTTTGATAACACCCCACATGTTTCTGAGAGTATGTTTACCTTTTTCCAGGAGATCAAATTGGTTCTCCATTACTGCACCTTAAAAGGAAGCTTTTACAATTTTATCTGAAATGAGAATATGCTTTTACACAGGTTTTCTAATCAGTAGACATTTAGGATTCATTTAGTCCATCCCCAGTTTGCCAGTCCTTTTCCATTTCAGAAGGAGATCTTTTATTTATTTTTGTTTTCTCTGTACTCATGTACACACTGAAAGGAGAAATGAACAAAGATAAAGAATATCATCTAATGATTAATGTAGGAAGGACTCCAGTTTTGGTCGCTAAGGAGATGGAGGATTTCAAGAACCTTAAAGCAGATGAATAATGATAATCACGAGAGCTCTGCCTCTTGATGCATCCTTCAGAGTGCATGTTTTCCTGTTAGAAATGAAAGGCAATATGATTTCTTTTTTCCTGCTGGAGCTGCATTCTGCCTAAATTTACCTTGTACATGTTTCGGCTGCACTTAAATAATGCTCCATATGTCTTGTTAGATTTAAATTCCAAATCATGTAATGGAAATGAAAATGTGTAAAGGAATGCGAGCCTGACTGAGGAGGATCCATATCATTTTTCTCAACGTGTGGCGCTCTAGGTCCACCAGGAGCTCACAGACACAGATTGTAATGGCTTCTAGCGGACTGTAACAGCGTTCCCTGCTTTTAGAATAAGCTAAGAATAAGGGGTTAAATTAACACTTGATGTGGAGTAAAGGACATACATGAAGGTTCACTCTGTACAGTGGAGTGGAATGGACTAAGATGATGCATAAACACAGTCCTCTTTCCCCATGATGAGACCATGAGATCTTAATCTCAAACAATGCATATTTGTGATGGTTTTCCCCTTTTTGGACAGTGCTGAGCCTCCAGTGTCCATCCAGAGTCGAGCCCAGTAGGGAAGGCTCTGCTAGTGTGGGAATTGCTCTGTTCCTGTGCCTTTCATGGAGGGGAGTGGGCCTGACACTGGGGAGTTTCTCTGTGCTAGCAGACAGTGCGTTCCCAGGGGCTGCCTCCTGAACCTCTGATAAAGGCATTCTGTCTGGACCCTGTCAGTGCACACGGGCTGCGGCTTCGGCTGACTTGTAACATAAACATATAGACATCCTCAAGCCTCCTGTTAGGGTCCATTAGAGTGCCCTCCCCCAGTACTTTCATTCCCCTTATCCCTCTCACTCTTCCTCTCCCACCCTCCTCTCTGTCATCATTCCTGTCATTATTTCCTCCTTTTGATGTGAGGCTCCTCAGCCCTCTTTAGCTTGTGTTACCCGTGTTATCTCTAGTCACTCCCCTGCCTCTGGAAGGCTTCACACTCATCCTTATTTCCAGCCTTGATGTGATCACATTTATTTCATTTTGAAACAAACTGTCCAACTCCCTCACATGCTGAATTACTTCTTTGCCAGACTCAGCCATTATTATCTTATTGCATTAAAAGTAAACAATACTTGTGCAGTGATTGTTGTGACAAGAAGAGCAAACTAGTATGCATCCAGCTGGTGTTCTGAGCAGTGTTTCTCATGCAGAGAGAGTGTGAGGATAGGTTAAAAAGCCTGGCCTGACAGATTTATAAAAACATGTTCAAACCTGTCCTGTGCAAGCTGCCGGAACAGAATCTCTCCTCAGCTGTGAGGCCCCTTTACTTTTTGTCTAGGTCGTCTAGTCTGCCTGATTGCGGATGGCCATTTTGTGTATTTTTCATCTACCAGAGAGTCTTGATTGTGCTGCACTTGTGCAACAGCTCTATTGTGTGTGGTGGACAAAGGCTGAAATCTCTCAGCCGTCCGCATAACAGCTTCTGAGCACTGAGTCTGTCTCATCTTCAAAAGCATAGTCTGAAGATGTACAGTGTTTTCTCATTATGGGCCATTCAATAGATAAATCACACATAATAGCACAGCAGAGATAAACTGGTCTTTGTCTATCCTGCCCAACAATTGACATACAGTGTATCTCATCAGTGTCTGTGCATTTTTCTCTCCTTCTTTTTTCTTTCTTAGGAAGCCGGAAAAAAAGGTTTGATGGATAAGATACATATGGTGCAAGAAATAGTCCTGGCTGTCCAGAACATTATGGAAGAAGTCGCAAACGTCGGAGAGCGAATCAAGAAGTAATTCCGCCATTTTATATTTGTCCTACAGCTTTGACTTCATTATCAATTTATTTGAATTCATATTGTAATAGAGCTTCACATTAATCTGACACATTTTTTAACAGCATATTCAACTGGTCTGTCCCATTTTTGTCGTGCCTGGTCTGCATAGTGCTGTTTGTGTCAACAGCACTGTTGTATTTCATCCCACTGCGATATATCGTGCTGATATGGGGTAAGTTCTAAATCCCAAAACACTCATTCATGAAATTGTGAATGAAAAAAAAGGTTATTTAGCACAGGTAAAAGCTCCCACTATTTGTTTCTTGCTAGATCTTTCATTGCTATGATCAGAACATCCTAACGAACAGTGTAAAAGTCTATGTCTGTACCACTGCTGCAAAACACAACTCTCGTTCTACCTTTCTAACTATGAAGCCAGGATTTAATGAAACACAGCAATTTAAGAACTCTTATGTCCCTACACATCTGCAGATGTACAGAGATCAGACAGCTGCAGAGGTTTGATTTGCGCAGTGTGGGCTGATGTAGAAGAACCCAGCAGAGACAAGGCCTAGGGTCTGTATAAAAACAAAGCAGAGGTAGAGTAGCAAGCTCTATATAATACATGATGTCCTTGGGCGGTCTGTAGGCTCCTGGTCTATTGCTATTATCTGCTGTAGTCATACAGAATAGACAGTCATCTCAGTGGTCAGGGAGATGTGCTGCCCTTAACAGACTCTCCTCCTCCAGCTGTAAGCCCACAACCACTGTACTTCCACACTACCTTCAACACAATCAATACCAAAAAACCATTATATCAAACAAAAAAACACACAGCCTGAGACACTCCTCTGCCTCCCCAGTTAACCCCTATCTTTGTGGTTGCAAGGCAAGCCTTTCAAGTTGCTTGCACATATTTAAGTCCTTAGGTTCTTTGTCTGCATGTTGAGGTACAGACAGTACCAAGCTGTGAATATAATGGTACCATTACAAGACCCCAGAGAGATTTTCTTTTCTCTTTGTGGTACACAGCCATGTCCAAAGTAAATATAGTTGGATGTGCTAGAAATGATCACATTGAAGCAAACAAATGTAAGGAACAGTTGTCATGAATGAGTGCCTGTTGTTCAAATTAAGGTAGCAAATTCAGAATCCGGAATCAGCTTTATTGGCCAGGTGTGTTGAGCACAGGAGGAATTTGGCCCCGGTGCAGTGGCTCTCAATGTGTATGTACAGTGTTCTTCTGTAAGGCAACAAGTAGACAAGTAGACAAGGTAAGACTGAGAGGACAAAAAAAGAATGTGCAAACAAGAAAAAGGAATGTGCATTAGGGAAATAAAAATAAAGTACTTTGTAAATATAGAAATATATGTCATCACAGTTTGGATGGTGTGTTTCAGATAGATATATACCACAGTATATTCACTGAGGGTTGTTGTTCTGTTATACAGTCATGGGTTAAGTATTCATCAGTGTGATGGCACAAGGGAAGAAACTGTCCTTGTGTCTGTTTGTTTTGGCGTACAGTGACCTGTAGCGCCGTCCAGAGGGGAGGAGTTCATACAGTTTGTGTCCAGGGTGTGAGGGGTCTGCAGAAATCTTCGCTGCTCTCCTTTTGACCCATGAGGTATACATGGAGGGCAGGCTGGCACAGATGATTCTTTCTACAGTCCTTACTATCTGCTGGAGTCTGATCCTGTCCTCTTTGGTTGCTGAACCAAACCAGACAGTGATGGATGAGCAGAGAACAGACGTGATGATTCCCCTATAGAACTGTAGCAGCAACTCCTGGGGCAGATTGAACTTCCTGAGCTGGTGCAGGCGATGATACTGATGTTGGACATTCACTTCAAATCCTGGGAGAAGGGTGGGGGGCTCTTCCTAAAGTCCACTATTATCTCCACTCCTGTCTGGATGAATTAATTGTTGCATTATCCATATTTGTCACCATTGTATTGGTCAGGCTTAAATTCAGTTTGGCTGAAAGGGATCAATTGAAACAGCATCATATAATACAGTTATTGATACACCCTTGGGAATGATATACTCTACATACTGTAGATATGCTTACATACCTCTTTGTATTATTATTTTTATACTGTAAAACTGCATAAAAATATGCTGGTTGGTATGACACATTTATTAATTAATGTGTTCTTGTTTTCACAGGCGTTAACAAATTTACCAAGAAGCTGCGCAACCCATATACTATTGACAATAATGAAATACTGGATTTCCTCAAGAGGGTGCCTTCTGATGTTCAAAAGGTAAGGGTCCAATTTTACATACAGATAGGGACTGAATTCCCCGAAGATGTCTGCATTATTTGTTGTGCCAGAATTCCCAAGTGTTGTGAAAATATATCCTCTGGCATTGTTTACTATTAATGGACTCTTGCCTTTAAAGCAGTCCTGGTCCAATTACTCCTCAGTGCAGCTTCGTGTAGTTACTGTAGTGCCTGAGTGAGAAGATGCTCAGATTTTTCCTTAACCATTTGGATGCAGCCTCATCTGTTATTAGCAGTTTTGTCTGTCTGATTGAAGCGCTGTGACTTTAAAGTGGGTGAATGGCCAATGGCCAGCAGACGGGTCCTGACGTCTCTGGCTATTGTGTCAGCACAGAAACTCTGAGGTGGCCTCGGTCGCTTCAGGTTGGTAGAGTCAGTTAATGTAGTCGTGAGCCCCAGTCACCTTTCTGGGTGCCATATGTGATTACATATTAGCTATGGCTGATATGCCATTTGCATTTACATCACAGAGCTGAGGAGAGCTGTCAGGGTGTTGTAAGTGGTGCTGGGTGTTCAGCATCTCTCTGACTGAGAATTTTGCTCAGCCAGGAAATGAAGTGCCACACGGTGCCTTCATCTAGCAGGTAACTCGCCAGACAGAATTCACAGAGAAATCCTGACAGTCTGGATCTGGAACGACACTCTCACCTCAGTCTGTTTCTCTGCTGCATCCTTGATGTCCTCCTGCAGCAAGCCATTGCTGACTTCTCTGTGATGTAGGAGGGAGCCTGTGTTGTTTGAGATTTGGCTGACTGAGTTGGCAAAACAAGGTGGTTGCAAACATTTTGATTCCGAATCCTTTGTATGTCTTTGTCCCCACTGGGATACAATGTTTGGGCTTTGAAAATGACTCACTTTCAAATCCCATGGAAACAATACTTTTTAGCCTGGTTTAAAAGAAAACTACATCTTGAAAATAGTTCCAATCATAAAAAAACAAAATACCCTTAAGATTCATCATAAGTAGGATTCATTATGTCTTATGAAAAATAACCTTAACATCGTATACACAGGAGACCCAAAACAATAGACCATGTTTTTGTTGACTTAGAACTTCAATCCTCAGATAGGTGTGGACACAAAAACACCACAAAGGCTGAAAATTGACTCCTGTCTTTCTTGCAAATGTGACTTGGCAATTAGTGCCTCTGCACATCTACAAAGTCTGCCTCAAACGAAGACTTCTGACAACACTGTCTGTCCTCGAATAAGAAGCATCTGTCAGTTCTGAGGACAGTTTCATGTTCTGATGCAGGAACCAGTCACTTTGTTCCCACATTCCATCTCCCATTCTAATAATGGAGACCAAGTAATTAGCATAGAGTTCTTACCTTTATTCAACAGATTCGCTGTATTGTTTGAGCTCATAAGCATGCTTCAAAAGCCAGTTTCTAAATTCCAGCTCTTCTCCTTTTCAGTTTGCCCTATGATCAGTGTTCTTTGGATTATTGTGGCAAAAAAAGTACAATCTAATGTAATTTTTTGAACGTCAAAGAAAACCTGACTGTATGACATGTGCATTTATTTTGTAATTTGCTGAACATCATAGAATGTCTGACAGACTAAACAAGAATCTATCTTGAGCTTAATTCTATGTATATCACAAGCAAAAAAAAACCCACAATGCTGTAAGTCCAGAAGTTACATTTGAGGTCTTGTTTTCGCCTGAAGAAATCAAAGTCACAGCGAGGGTCAGTGAAGAACGCTGCAGTACATGTCATCTGATGCTGGTAACTTTTCAACTCAAACACTCGCCTCACGCTATTCTCAGGATCCAACAAAGTTTTCTTTAGGGGACACAACTTACAGAGTGATTATGCAGTTTGCAGCTCCCTCACTGGCCTGGCAGGACATCTCAACGGTTGATGTCTGTTTCTAATATTGTGATTGTGGTGCAGAATGAGGGGGCCGTACACTGGTACAGAACCCTTGACTCTTCAAATCCTTCCTCTCTGTGATTAATCCCCTCTGCTCCTGTGTTTAAAAAATGATTCATTACAGGCAAGCCCGCCTCGCTTTTCCCTGCACCAGCTCTCCTCAGGGGAGCCATTAACGTGCGCTCCACTGAGCTCGGATTACCTGCCTCTGACCAAACTCCTGTTTGTTTTTGCAGGTGCTGTACAGTGCGCTGAGAGCGCCCACCAGCCAGAGCCAGCCACGGAAGAAAAGGTAGGCTCCACAGACACGCTGGCTGAAAGGCTGTTCTCCTTTTGAACAGTACGATGCAGTCCACCTGACAACAGTGTTCCAGTGCCAGCAGAGCCCATGACCCCGTGCACCACCCCATACCACCCTAACTCTGTCCCCTGCTGCTGAGGGGCAACCAGCCGCTCTCTGGCTTGTGTGTTTGCCACCCCCCTGACAGGGGCTATGAACTGCAGCAGCCATGAGGGCAGCACATGGTGCTGTCAATCACAAGTCTGGAGGTAAAGGAAAGAGATTGCTGCAAGGCTCAGCCTTCATCTTGCAATGTGATTTATAAAAGAAATGAAAAGCTTTGGGTTTGGCTTAGACTGTCACAGTTTTTTTTTTTTTTTACTTTAGTGAACCTGAAAAATTTGCCTTAATGCAAAAGCAGGACAGTTTATGGAAAACAAACCAAAGCAATATTTATCGCTATGAGTAATGTAATCAAATGTGAAAAGGCCATACAGATGTTTAAATAATCATGGAGAATTAATATATGTTGCCACACATTTAACATAATATATAAGGGCAGATTACTGAATTCTACAATTTCTGTCATAAGGATTTTTTTTATATAATATATTGCTGCCACCATTATTCATTTCATTTCATGAACAAATGTATGTCATGCACTGTATGTGCATTGTCTCTGATTGACTTTATTTTGTAAAGTGTCTGTATTTTTATGACATATTAGACTGATTCATCTGAGAGATTATTTTTATTCAGTATCATGTCTGCATCATCAAATGGAGACTTTTCAAGAATCCTGAATAAAGAGTCTTGATCATTTTGAGCTCTTGTTTTTGCCTGTGTTTTTGAAATAACTGCACTCTAGTGAGGATGGATTAGAGCCCTTCTTTACTTGAATACACAGTAAACACATCTGATTACACAACACAGCCATTGGAACAGGGCTCACACACCGGCCACTGCTGCGCCTTGGTTACCGAGCTCACATCAAAGCTGTGTGGCTCCACTGTGCTTCCTAATGCATTGCTTTGTTGCCTTCTCACAATAACAGGGTCCAGATGAGAGAGAAAGAGCTCACATCACATAGAGTACTTTCTCCATCCTCAGCACTTAGTGCTTTACATTTCCACTAAAATCACCTGGCCTATCTAGTGGTTACACCCACATTTTTTCCATCTGTCTCCCCACAGTGCTTTTTACAAGTAGAGGGAAATAGTAGTATTTCCTCTATCCACTTTCTCATTCATATTTAGTTAACATATATATTTTTATTAAATCAATAGACACCCTTTGCCATTTTGATTTTTGCAAAACTTTTAAATTTTTTCATAAATGTACTACTGCTCACACTGCACTGATCCAATATATGTAAGAGGAAGTTTCACCATGCTAATACACATTTGCATGAAGAAATTAGTCATCCTTTACCTGCTTCTTCTGTTTCTGAGAGTTGACAGATGGCAAGTACTCCCTTTTTAAATATACATAGTTGGAAGTGAAGTTGGGCTGCACTGAGGCTTGGACCCCGGCAACGGGAGTTTGTTCTAACCGATTGAGAGACTGAGCATCACGACCAGGTGCCCCCCTCCTCAGCAGTAGCACACTGGTGAAAGAGCATCCATCTGTGCTTTGTGGAGAGTTTGATTGGCTCAGGGGGACCTGGTAGAGCCCCGGGCTATCTCTTTTGACAGGCTGATAGAGACATCACTGGGCTTTCCCAGGAGCTGCCACCAGGGGTCCATTTCAAAGTGAGAGGGTGTGGAGGTGACCCTGAACTTCTGACGAGCTAAATCCCACACACTGGCTGAAACCCTCCTACATTCTTGGCTCCTTTGGGGCTGAAGGGGGCAGTTTTGGCTATGCTGGGAGGAGGGCAGAGCTAGGGAGGGAGACGGGTGGAGGGTACAAGCAGATCACTGGCAAGACCCAATGAAGTGTCCCCAAGAGCGAAAACCAATTAAGAAATACTCCCAGGGTACTTTTAATTGACATTTCAGCAAACAACCAAATTGCTGCATGCGAAAATCTAAATCTTTGAAGCCTAATGTAACTAAGAAAAACCCTCACTTTGGTCAATGCCACTTTTTAATTTGTAAAAATAATATTGTGTCATGGGAGAGATATATTACTGAGGCAAGTGACATGACATATGAGACCACAGCTGACTGCCTTCAAGCTGTCAAATCTTTGAATCTGTAGCACAGAGGTTGTGGACATGGATGTTCCTTGTATCATTCATAGTGAATGGATCATACAGAAGAGTCTGACAGGGTTATAACAATTGTTTGTTTGGCTCTGCATGCACCAGTGCACACTTATGTTACTTGCTCATGTAGACACACACATTAAGCCCCCCTCCAAAAAGGTGTAATCATATTTAAGGCATTGTTTATCAGCGTATTTCCTCCTGGGAAGGCTATGAATCTCTGCAGAGGAAGCTAGTATGCAATATGGTCCCAAATGCAGTGGGGAAAATCCCTGAATGTTTTACAAGCTTGCTAATGAACATTTGAGCTGCACAGCAGTTAACATTGTTTGATCACATTTTTTTTTTCTCCCGTAGATGTTGTTGTTGTGCATGGTGTGGCAGTGATGTCTTCATCAGGCTGTCAAAAAGGAAGTGCCTGCAGCTGTGGCGGATCCCCCTAGAGTCTGTCACACTTCTTGTTTCCATGGCAGTCCTTCAGGCAGCACCACAGGCAGGCTGTGTGCAAGGACCCATACAACCTGATTTTTCAACAGCCGGTCCTCTGATGTTCAGCCCCAGAGCGAGCGTCAAACTACCGAGTGCAGAGAGAGAGAGAGAACATTGCACCCTTTCTCTGTCACAGTTCTGTGCTGTTTTACAAGGAGAAAGAGCCTCCTCATTTGAATAAGCCACTATTCTCAGCACCTCTTTAGTAATTGTTACATGTGCAATGCCGTTAAGGTTCTCTGACCTCCTCTCTGAGAGATATAATACGCACAGTAGGACAGAGTAACAAAAGCATGACTCATAGTTGACTTACACGTGTTAAAGCTCTTATGCATGTGTTATATGGTCTTCTTGTACCACCTGAGAAGCAGGTCATGAAGATCAGTGGCTGCGCTCCAAGTTGCAGCTGGCTGAAATTAAAAGTGCAGAGGTTATGGTCTGCCTCCAGACAGAATCCTGACACAGCTCGAAAGTACGATTTGCTCATCTGCTCAGTGGAAACACAATCTAAATGACAGACCAGTTTGCTACAGTTACTAACTGTTTTACCTACTGCATATGAGCACATACTCCTGAAGATGCTGCATGATGCTTTTAATTTGATGATGTAGCGTGCTTTTGCTGTTTGTTCCAGATTATGCCTTACCAGTGGGCACATTGCTTTAGTCTCTCCTAGTGATAGAGGATATAAATCATGGTAATCAGGATTGATGTTATCTGTGGGAATAGGGGTGGGAATATGACGGAGATAACAACAGAGAGAAAAATGGTCGCTAATAGCCGCTGTTTTCAGTAGCTCCAGTTTACTAATAATTCATTTTGTGGCCCACAGTACACACTGGTGTTAAGACATGGCAAAAGCTATAATTCTTTATAGCATCAAGAGTAGACGATGGCCTTTAAGAGCTGAAATTAAATCACTGGCCTTTAAAAGCATCTCTCAAAGGGGCAAGCTCCACTAATAAATTCAACTGATTCTGCTTTAATATTATTCAGAGTGCATTAAAATGAAGACAACAGCTGGGATCATGCCCAGTCTCTGGAGTATTGCTTGGGCCAATAGAGAGCCAGCTAGATGCAGAGCATGTCTGAGCGCAACCCTGTGTCGTGGACGGGGGTTGTGCGGGGTGCACAAGGTCTTAGTGTTACAGGTGCAGGGCTGACAGTTGCTGTTCCCAGATCAGAGGTTGCTGGGTACTGACACTGGCCACAGGACAGCTACTGGCTGCCTCAAAGACAATGTCACATGGGAACAGACACCCAGCCCTCAGCCAATCAGACCATCGACTTGCCAGAATCATGACGGTACTGCTTATGAGAACTACAACAACCTTCAAATTGGTAAATGCCTTCTTTGTGTGGAGTAGTTATGGGCTAACGTTGTTATGTTAGGAAATGGATTAACAGTATGAGTTAAAACTGTGGCTTTGAAAAAAAAAGAAATAAGTGTTAAGCTTTCTAACATTTGGTGTTATAGTTAGCACGAGCACGTGTTAGGAAACAATAAAAAGAATAACTGAACTGCATATTTCATTCTAATTAACAGTGATATAACACAATGCGACTCTCAGCCTCTTGAGGACAGAGCACCATATTTCGTTTGATGAATCTGCTAAAGCCACAGCTAGTCTCGCCGCTAACCCCTGGGGAATCAGGTATCATTAGAGATATGAACAGATCTGCCTTTTGTCTCGATGAAAAAAAAGGGAAAACACATTTCCTCTGCACCGGCACACGAGCGAATCTGAAAGTGTTCAATATTAATGGTCTTTCATCAAGGACGCAATTAGGACACCTCTATTTGACACATTCTATAGGTTCTGAAGGAATATGGATATACGGTCCCAAGGAAGGAGCCACTGGCTGAATAACAAAGTGAAATCTCCAGCAAACCCAGCAGAATGAAAAATGCACAACATGGCAATCAGGGAGCTGATGTATTTGATCCGGTGTGAATATAAAAAGCAAGAGACTCTAAATGTATTATCATTATTAGCCCAATTTATAATTCACAGCCCAGGGCAAATTGTAGATATTTCCAAATTAGCATACATGCTGCTATACAAACACAAAAATGCAGCACACATACAGTATTAAAAAGACCACATTGCTTTCATCTGATACACTTAAGGTATTGTTCTCCATACTTTGAAAACACATAAACAGTACTTGTGGGTTTCGGTGTTTCTGTTCCTGTCAAGATAATTAAAAAATGATTAAATACTGGTCATAGATCAGTCAGCGGTTCACACAGAGCAGATTTGATTAGTCAGTGCAGTTTATAGGATATGTAATTTTCTACACCAAAGGTTTGCAGTGCTGACTGCAAAGCTAAGGTGTGAAGAGGGCTGGGGTGAAGTGAGGAGACTAATCACATGTGTATCACCCCTAAGCACTGTTTCCTCCAAGCTCTGCCACATTGTGACACCAGAGAGTCATGTAGCACACAAGCACAGTTAGGCCCATTAACCAGAGCAGCTAATTATCGGCTCCTACAAGGTCTTCAAGCTTTCAGGCAATACATGCTCTCATTTCTGATTAAAAACATAAATGCATGCAGGAAAAAGAGGATCAATTACAGTGAGGCAGAAAAGATAACAGCCCCGTACCAGAGTAATTAGGCTGGGTGTTTCACTGGAACCGCTTGCTCTGTGATGAAGGTTTAAAGAGTCCAGTGGCAGAAACACCGCAACTGTGTTTGTTTTATTTATGATGCTGCGGTGTCACCCACCAGGGCCCAATTAGCCTGCGACTGATGCCTTGGAAAGCATCTCGCTGCTCCTCTTTGACAGGAAATGAAAGCTCCACTTGCTTATGTCCTTCTAGTGACCTGTGAGCTTCAACCTGTTCAGGGCAGACTGGCCAACAGCAATGATTTGAACATGCCTTCCACAGCAACCTCCTTTCCCAAGTTCT